TATACTTGAGTTAAAACATAACAGAAAGTTTTGCAAACAAAAAAATAAAGTATTGAGAAATTTTTTTTTAAATAATGCAAATCTCAAATCTCAAAAAAAACAAAAAAAAAACAAAACAAAAAATCGCAAAAGGGAAAATTGAGTTTTGAGAAATAAAAGGAATTTTGCAAACAAAAATAAAGAACTGTAAATGAAAATCAAGTAGTGCAAAAAAAAAAGACATATTTGCTATTTTTAAAAAATATACATATTTTTGCTTAATATTTTTTTCCAGTATTGCCTTTACAAAACCTCTCAAGTCAACTGCCGCGCTCATTTTGATTTGCTTTTCAGTCAATGAGTATGCGATGCTGTTTTTTTTTTGCACTTCATATTAGTGATGTGTGGATCGATACTAAAATTTTGATATCTCCGATACCAGCTTTGTGTGTTCTAGAATCGATTATCTTATCAAAAATATCGATATTTCAGTAATTTGGAGCAAATATGTAGTTTATTGGAAATAGAAATACAGTGGAAAGTAACCACAATTACCCTAGTTTATCTGAATAATGCCAACTTAGTCTGAACTACTTGTTCTTCCGCCTGCCAAGTCATGTGCGTAATATGGCACTGTACAACTGCAGAGCACGCTAGCTAGCCACTCAGTCAGTCCGCTGGTACATGTTGTTCAGTCACACTGTTGACCGCAAAGTTTTGTGTGGGGCTACTTCACTTCCATAAACTCAGACGATGCTGTTTGTGACACTTGTAACAAAACAGTGTGATAAAACCACAAACCTAATCAAACACCTACATATAAATCACAAGACTGAATATGACTACGTCATGACTAGACGGTCAGAAGAGGAGGAAAGGGCAGGCACAGGTGCTGCTTGGGCGAGACAAACATGGCTTGCAGAGTCCTTTGGTGGAGCAGGCAGGCACTATGAAGGTACAGAGTGAGAACATTTGGCTGTATTTTGGGGCCTTGAGTTTTTGTGACAATGATAAAACAAAGGAAAAAGGTTAAAAATCTTTAAGGGGACCGGATTAACATGTCACTAAATTAAAAGGTGTGAATGTTTATTGTTTTATGTTAAGATGTTCAGGCAGACGTTTTAAGATATACTTGCTCAGATGCTGTCAATAATATGTAATATGTAAGTTGGCTCTTTTTTGTATGATAATTCCTCATCAATAAACTAGAATAACTCATAATATGTCTCATATTCAGTATAAAATGACACTTTTTAGTACACTAATTGTTACTTTAATTTCTCAAACAGTAATCTTTGGAGAAAGTATCGGTATCGCCGATACTTGACTTTAATTTACTTGGTATCAGATCGAATAGAAAACCAGTGGTATTGCACAACCCTACTTCACATTTCTGTGCTTGTCACTTTCTAGTCCTAATTTATCAAGGGGGCGGAGACACAGGAACTGGGGTGAGTATGGCATGCCCAGACCTGCCTCCTATGAAGCGACGTCATCAGCTGGAGACATCGTGACACAAAGGAAATCAGCCATAAATCTAATTGAGATCAAGTAAAATACCTAAATCCTTTGTTTTTTGGGGGGATGTTTATCAAACAAAATCGTCAAACAGTAAAACTCACAAATAAAAATGAGTGTTGCAATTGACGTGAAAGGTTTTGTAAGGGCAATACTGGAAAAAAATTAACAAATATATGAATATGTTTTAAATATTGCAAATATTAAATTTTTTTGCACTACTTGACTTCCATTTGCAGTTCTTTACTTATTTATAAAAAATTCTTTTTATTTCTCAAAACTCAATTTTCCCTTTGCGATTTTTTGAGATTTGCATTATTTTTCACATTTTTTTGCTCAATACTTTGCTTTTGGTTTGCAAAACCTTATTTTATGTTGCAAGTATATACAGTTGAAGTCAGAATCATTAGCCCCCTTTAATTTTTTTTCTTCTTTTTTAAATATTTTCCAAATGGTGTTTAACAGAGCAAGGAAATTTTCATAGTATGTCTGATAATATTTTTTCTTTTGGAAAAAGTCTTATTTGTTTTATTTCAGCTAGAATAAAAGCAGTTTTACATTTACATTTTTAAACACCATTTTAGGGACAAAATTATTAGCCCCTTTAAGCTATATTTTTTCTCGATAGTCTACAAAACAACCCATCGTTGTACAATAACTTAATTACTAATTACACTAACCTGCCTAGTTACCTTAATTAACCTAGGTAAGCCTTTAAATGTCACTTTAAGCTGTATAGAAGTGTCTTGAAAAATATCTAGTGAAATATTATTTACTGTCATCATGGTAAAGAGAAAATAAATCCATTATTAGAGATAAGTTATTAAAACTATTATGCTTAGAAATGTGTTGAAAAAATCTGCTCTCGGTTAAACAGAAATTAAGGAAAAAATAAACAAGCGGTCTAATAATTCAGGGGGGCTAATAATTCTGACTTCAACTGTTTATGGCCCTAGATTGACTCCATATTGTTCCTACTATAGAATTTGATAGGTGCCAGCAAACAGCATTCTTCAAAACATCTTCTTTTGTGTTGAAAGTAACTCATTAGGGTTTAAAGTCACATGAAGGAGAGTAAATGATAAGTTAAATGTTCCTATTTCTTTTTATTTCATTTTTATTTTTTATTTTTAGGTGAATTATTTTAAGATACAAAATGAAGCTCTGTTATATGCAGTGTCTTAGTGTGTAATTTTTTTTTTATTTAATAAATAAAAAAATAAGCAAACAATATTATAGACTACTTTTACAATGTCTTTTTTTATATTTTACTGAATTTCTATTTAACTCCACGACTCCACCATGTGGATTTGAAGCAACACAAAGGCGAGAAAATGATGAGTGCTTATTTGGTTTTGCTAGTTTAAGCGTTTCATGGTGTTGTGATTCCTTTGACTGACAGGTTGCTTGAGACCGAAGGCCGGCGCTCTTTCCCCTCAGCTGGAGAGCCCATCACATGCTTTTGAACAGAATGTTCTGGTTTTTCATTTCTCTCCATGATGAATAAAATAGCAGAACATTGTGACCCCAGCTCAGCTTGGGGGCCATCCAGTTGTTAAAACAATATCCTCTACCTCAGGTCTCTCAGGAATTTTTTGGATGTATGGGTCCAAATTCCACTCCAAGTTCAAATTCCACATCTGATATTAAAAACTGGATACTGGAGTATTTTCAGTGTCAGCACTTGGCCGGCCCCGCTCAAAGACAGAAGTTTTACTTTCTGAAAACAGTCTCTTTTTTATTTTTGTGAAACACAACCTCCTAACATGAAACCGACTCCTTGCAGTCATGTGTTCTCAAACACTTAAAGGTGACCTACTGTGTAAGTGACTTTTCTGTAATAAGCAATTGATTTGACTTTATACTGACACCTATAGGTCCTCATGAACATGTGTATTTCAAGGGCTCACAGTGGCAGTCTGGGCTTACTTCGTTCCAAACTGTGTATAATTGCAACTCATGGTAGAGTTTTCAAACTTAAACAATTGATTTGCGGAAAGTGTGGCACAATTTGTCAGGTAAGTCAAAGCTTGACTGAAAAGTATACAAAAATGGGAAGTTCTGACAGTAGCAGAAGACGAAGAAGAAGAAAAATAGAGAAATGAATTATCATTATCAAAACAGTGTGACCCCGTTTAATGATTATTTAGATGTCAAATTCACTGTATTATTATTATTATTATTATTATTATTATTATTATTATATATCATTATTATTTGTATTAATACATTATTATTGTTATTAACATCATTATCATCATCATCATTTTAATAACAATATTAGTAATAATAATAATAATAATTATTATTATTATAATAATAATAATTATTATTATTATATATCATTATTTTTAATACATTATCATTATTATTATTAACATAATCATCATCATCATTCTAATAATAATAATAATATTAATAATAAATATTATTATTTTAAATATTGGATATAATAATACTAATATTATTTATTACTATTTTTATTATCATCATCATCATCATCATCATCATCGTTATAAGTAATATTAGTCTAATGATAGCAATAAGTATTATTATTACTTACCTAAAATCATCATCATTCTAATAATAATAATAATAATAATAATAATAATAATATTAACTATTATTATTATTATTATTATTATTAACATCGTCATCATTCTAATAATAATAATAATAATAATAATAATAATAACTATTATTATTATTATTATTATTGTTATTATTATTATTAACATCATCATCATTCTAATAATAATAATTATTATTATTATTAGACTAATATTAAATATAATAATAACAACAATTATTAATAAGTAGTATAATAATAACAACAATAATAATACTTTTTATTATTATTGGATGTAATAATAAAAATAATAATAATATATATTATCATAATTATCATCATCATCATTATCGTTATAAGTAATATTAGTCTAATAATAATAATAATAATAATAATAATAATGAATATGAATTAAAATATTAATATGATCATCATCATTCTAATAATAATAATTAGTAGTAGTAGTAGTAGTAGTAGTAGTAGTAGTAGTAATATGACATATAACAATGAGGATAATAATAATATTTAGTATTATTTTTTATTATTAACATCATCATCAATCTAATAATAATAATAATAATAATAATAATAATAATAATAATAATAATCATAATAGTATTCACTATTGCATTTTTGCAATAATTATAATTATTATTAAATGTTTATTATTAAATTGAAACTTAATTATAACAATAAGTATCATAATTAAGTGGCAAAATAATAATAATAATAATAATAATAATAATAATAATATAACATTTGTAAAAATATATAATTATTATTATTATTGTTATTGTTGTTGTTGTTTATTATTACATTACTACCTAAAAATAATGTTAAGTATCATAATTCACACTAAGAAGAAATCACGAGGTTAAAAGAAAAAGCCTTAAAGTTGCTAAGTACACGTGCGAAGGAGTAGAGCAGTTCTTACCTGTGTTATTATTTGTGGCTGGGTAGTCAGCTGCCTGCATACTGCCCTTGCAGTAATGCTTTTGACTGCAGCTTTAACCAGTCCGGTAGACAGACCGTTGCTGTGTGACCTCCATTTTGATCCTCGGGTTCAGCTCATTAGCGGCAGTTACACTTTAAACCCCTCTAGGCCAGAGGAAGTGCTGGATTTAGTAAATGACCAATAACATCAACAACAAAAAAAGTGCATGCTAAACAACGGACCCTATCCTCCAAGCCATGGATATGCAGCCATGGCCAACTGTGCAAAGTTTGACTCTAAAGCTTGGAAGTGCTCGACGTGTGTCTGCAAGAACTTTCTTTCCTTCCACTTTTCAGACTTGGCATTTGAATGACACAGATGCCCACAGACACTGTCCTATCCACGATGCCAGGGGTGTCATCCTTCTTCAGGAGTGCTGGAGTTATATCGCAGGAGAAACTGCAACGAGAAGAGCAAAGAGAGAGAACTGGTTAACACGATTATATTTAAACAAGTGATTCCCGTTCGTTCCCCTTGGCTGGCTCATTTCGGAAGAGAGCCATATGGAAAGCTACACTGGAGAAACAACCTTCTTTATTTGTTCAGATGCAAAAACACAGCAGGGTGGCACTTTGAAGTCTGGAGATAAATATAACTGGGGGTGGCGTGCACACCTCGGAAAGTAAAATCGTTTCTACTTCAAACACTTCAGGGAAAAAAAAGAAAAGCCCGCTCGTCAAGAAAAGGCAAACGGAACATTGTTAGCAAAGAGTACAAATGTAAAATAAATAAATAAATAAACTAAAAGACGAAGCAAATTATATGGATATGTGTAGAGCAACTCTGGACAAAGATAGAGCTGTCAAAATCAGACTACTCTTAGTATACCAATTTTGGGTGTAATTAGCTAAAGTAACTAGTTACGGTAATTAGATTACTTTTCAGCAAAAAATAAAGGATTGATTCTCATTTTTATGTCATTTAATTAGTGTTACATATGATGTAGTTGCCTTAAATACTGTTGAATTTATTTACAGTTCTGGATTAATCAATGCAGAGAAGCAGAGTAACTAAAACACTAATATATTTAGCAGAACAGCTCTAGTTATCAGCTAAAGAATGTTACGTTTATCAAGACCTTTGAATATGCTTTCGTAACAATAAATTGAGTCCGAAATTAAAGACCGGTCATTAGGGCTGTGCAAATAATCGAAATCAAATTGCAAGAGGCTGTGATATGAAATATACAGTATATGTATTATTTAAATTTCCCCTCCAAGAGCAATTATGTGACTACCATATGTGTGTTGATCAATCAGAATTGCGCAACTAAACTAAAACAAACAGGAAAGTGCAGACAGTTAACATAATGGCGTCTGCTGCTTCAGAAGCAATAATAGACGAATAGTATTAAAGAAAAACAGGACATCGCTAATATGGAAATTTTTTGGTTTCAAGGTCACAGACACCAAACAAAAAAGGGTATTTTTAGGAGCTGTCGCAGAATTGTTGCCACGGCATGGGACGATAACCGTTTTCAAGGTTTACCCCGGTTTGAAAAAGTCAAGGTTTTGAAACCATCAACAGTATTTCCAGCAGAAAAAAATATCCAAAGATGCCTATTTAAATTGTAAAAAAAATGTTTTTAAAATAAATGATGACAGTAGAAGTCAATCATTAATTTGAATTATTCAGCCTGACATGTTTACTGTTCCAAACTATTTTAAATGTTTCTTAAAATAAAATATATTGTGATTAAAAGGGATGTTTTGTTGTTTTTTTGGCCAGACATTTAAAAAGAATATGGGCTCTATTTTGACGATCCAGGCCCAGGGTGCAAAAGCATGAAGGGCTTGTCCAAATCCACTTTTGCTATTTTAAGGACGGTAAAAATCCGCCGTGGCGCATGGTCTAACAGGGTTGAGCTTATTCTCTAAATGAGTTATAGGAGTGTTTTGAAAATAAACCAATCAGAGTCTCATCTCCTATTCCCTTTAAGAATCAGGTGTGTTGCGCCATAGAGTATTTGCTATTTACATGACGACTTTGTAAGTGGAAAAACTGAGCGTTTCACTAGAGAAAATAGTTCAACAGAGCATTTACAGAGCAAAAATGAGAGATGAGCCTCCTCAATCTTTACTTTCACTTTCACTCTCGTGGATAGGGAAACGTGTTGTACACACAAACATCTATTAGCCTATACATAATTAATTCCGCTTATTAAGCGCAAAGATTAGTTTCAAAACAATTTTTAAATTCAGTTTTTAATTTAATTTAATTTTCAGCAAATTAATAAATGAACAATAATAACGAAGTGTGGTCAAAAAACTGAGTTATATCCAAATACACATGCTGTGCCTCATATGGTCTAAAACCTGACAGGTGGGCAACTAAAAAAAATAAATAAATAAATCAGAGATGATGGCATGGAAGCTGTGTTTTTTATATTTATGTAGGCTAGAAAATAATACTTTAATAATAATATATAATAATAATTACTAAAAGTAATATTTTAGTCCTTTAATTCTATTTCACTTTCAAAGACATTTGCGTATTGCTGTACACTCAGTTTTTATTTAGCAATGTTTAAACGAGGCGCACAACTACTTTACTGTAGACTTTAGACTTCTAAGTTGGTCTATTAAACAGACTATTTTAGTCCCTCAAAATACCAACGCGCCTTATTAGCCTTCTTTTTTAGACCAGAACACCTATGGGCGCACATATGAGCGCAGATGCAGTTGCTATTTAAACAGTGTGGTGCAACGTCAAAACGACTCTTGCACCCAGCTGAAACTAGCAAACAACAATTGTGTCTGTATTTCAGAGCAGTAATCACAATACCGCGAAACCGTGATATTATTATCCAAGGTTATCATACCATCAGAATCCTATACAGGCCCATGCCTACGCGGCTTACAGATTACTTATTAAAAAATAAATAAATAAATAAATAAATAAATAAATAAATAAATAAATAAAAAAGCTTTTAAAATAAAATCATTTATTTAATTTTTTTTTTTTAGCAATTAGATATTTTGTCCAAAATCGCACAGCCCTGGTGTGTATGAAAAACGATGTCATTACTTTGAAATATTTTTGCTTGTTTGTGCTGATATATAGATAACTAGGCTTGGGCCGATAGACGTTGCTATCGTCCATCGACGATGGCCAATAGCCAACACGATTCTGAGCCGGCATCGCCAATCCTCCGCCTCGCCCGTCGCAAACCCGCTCGCGAAAAATACACACTTGGCTTCGTTTACACTAATACATCTAGTGTTAAAATGGCATGTTAGAACAAAAATGATCCACATCCACACCGTTTTACCTAGCATTTCTGAACAGCCCTCCGTCCGCTGAAAATGCACATCACGTGACCACACACACACACACTAGACAGAGCCACACACACACACACACACACACTGTCATGCGCTCCCCTGAGTTCTAGGCAGATAGCAGTCCATGTCGGACAGTTTATCAAGGAGGTACCGCTGGATCGCGTCTCACTATAGTTGTTAAACGTGATAACGAGACATCCCAAGTCTCCCGGAAGTTCCGGGGGTCTCTATGCACTTGAGTGACTCATAATCCCAGCAAACGAGTGATAATCTCCCGTAAATCGCGCGTCTCCCTCCCGGTCCTCAAATAACTCGTGCACCCTTCTCACTCTTCAGACACGTCGCGCGCATTCTACCTAGAAAAGAACGAGGGTAAAGTTTTTAAAAGTTGCACTATTTTTAACTTGACACATGAGCACAATGCTTATAAATGCACCAAAAACTTCACAAGAAGCAAAGCGATGACAACATTTATCTAAATGTGTATAGCTGTAGCCATAATAAAACTAATGTGAAAGGGCTTAAACTAGCTGGCAAACAAGCCCCAATGACCTGACCGACCACATGAGCGCTGTTGAGTTTTAACACCGTCTTCCAGCTTCCAACTTTTACAAATGCGCCTCGAGACCACTACATTCTGTTCCATTCTGCTACAGTCAGTCCAAATGTTTTCCAACAGAAGAACTATGCGAACGCTCATTAAAGAAACATGTCTGTTCGCTGTCTGGTGAACATGACCCTGAGTCTGCAAAATTACACAAGGCTCAGAGTTCAGACAATCAGCCAGTCGATTCTGAAAACATTTAGGTTTTCACATCGCTAGCTCTGATCAGAAGATAAGCTACTCATCTATGCATGAGGTTTGGCACAGACTGCGTGTTTAACTCAAGGGTGAGGATGTCTAATTTGAACAACAGCAGAGTTGTTCATTTATAGCGATAAGGATGTGTAGGAAGTTTGGAAGGCGTGTGAGTGAAGTTTTCTTTTTGTCCCCAGGACAGAGTTTGTTCGCTGTTTGACTGACAGCTCCGATATCAGCCAGCGTGCACAAGCCAAGACGCTCCCTCGCTCCTCTCCTTCTTCTCGAGGACAGTTCCTCCTTGTGTCAGCATTCTATGCGACGAATATCTCTCTCTGGAGATCGGCCAGAGCGCCGATGCGTGCTGTGATGAACTGAAAATGGAAGATAGGGCCTCGGCGCAACAACTGCAGCAGATATAAAGTAATACAAAGGACTGATCTGCATCTTTTCTGCACTCACTTACTGTTCCGAGCGGCACTTCCTAAAACTTCCAAAACTTTGTTGAGAAGTTGACACCCTCCAGGAATCTCTTCACAGAAACCCCAGGTGTGTCACTTTGCAGAGCACAAATCCCTCATATGGGTATATCTGACCATAGATCTGTTCTACAGGCCACGTCTTGTTCCTAGAAACTAGGCCAAGAAAGTACATCTGAAGCGGAGGCCATCCAGGAGATGCATAAATGCTTTTTGGTCATGACTGAATGATAAACAAAAGCTACTATGAGACAGGAATCTTGTGGCTCAGCTTTGACACAATACACTGACTAATCCTTGTATTCGCCGTCAATGGCTGCCCATACATTTCTATTATGACACAGCCACATGGCAGAGCTCTCCTTTGAGACGAGTAACGCCATAGGGCATGTTGCTCTTCTGACATTGATTAACGATCTAACAACTTCCCACCGTGCCAGATAAAGGCAGTTTGGCTGAGGGGCAAACACACACACACACACACACAGACACACGACACACACACACACAAAAACACATATACGTACAGTGAAGGTGAAACCTCCACCCACAGACTAACTTTGTTTCACTTACAGCCATGGTGTGGAGACCCAACACACAATGTGTGAAAACATTGCCAATTCAGCTAAAGCTCGATGTATACTTTCGTCTGGCACCACGTCGCAGACCTCGGCTGACTGTGCGCACACCTCACAAAACAGACAAGGCTTTTGTGAAATTCTTTTAAATGATCCGGAACTACGTCATATCAATAATATTATTAAAGATTTTTAAACGAATTATTTTTACAATTGTTTTATCATTATAAGGACTTTTATAACCATTCAAAAAAAATAA